CCGCTTCCTGCCTCGCAATCGGAATCTCCACTCCTGCCACCCTCCCCTTTGCCTCCCAGCCAGCCACCACCCTCCCCTCTGCCTCCCTCGCCATCACCGCCATCCCCTGCACCTCCCAGCCCACCACCTCCTGCCCCGCCCCCGCCGCAACCTCCACCTCCCTCTCCGCCTTCACCGCGGCCTCCCAAACCACCTCCATCTCCTAGACCACCAAAGCCACCAAGTCCTCGTCCACCGCCTTCACCACGACCCCCAAAGCCACCCTCACCAAAGCCCCCGCGACGACCACCTAGACCACGTCCGCCCTCACCACGTCCGTCCTCACCACGACCACCACCTAGACCACGTCCGCCCTCACCACGACCACCACCTAGACCACGTCCGCCCTCACCACGTCCGCCCTCACCACGACCACCACCTAGACCACGTCCGCCCTCACCACGGCAACCCAGGCCGCCGCCACCACGTCCCCGCCCGCCCTCACCAAAGCCAAAGCCGCCACCCAAGCCCCCGCCACGCCCGCTTTCGCCTAGGCCTCCGCCGCCGATCAGGGGCAGGGGCCGGCGATTGCAGCGGTAGAAAGAGGAAGCATCCGACGCTCATGTACCCACCGCTGCCGCCCCTCCCACCTTGCACTTTCAGCACTACTTCTGCTTCCCCAGCTGCTACTCCCCTTCCACCTCTGTTTGCTTATCGCGAGTTTGAATTTTTCTTACATGTTATGAATTTGGAGTACTCAGAAGTTGAAGCCCACATCCCCAGCAACCCACAGACAGGTCCGACAGGCAGTCACAGGTCATCATGCCAGCTCACCGGCCACCGCCATCACTGGTGCTTGCCCAGCATCTTCTTGAGGCCCCACAGGCGGTTGGGCCTGGCTGGCGCCCAGCCACCAGCGCCCCCGTCCCGCCCCTCCACCTGCTGCCCTGGCGCTGCCACGGCATGCTGTGGCGCGGCCGTGGCCGCCCACGCCTCGGCCTCTGCGAACAAGGTGGCCGCCGGCGCCGACAGCGAGCCGCGCAGCGCGGCTTGCGGCGCTTCTGCAGACACCCGCAGCACCGCCCCCGCCGGCACCACCTGGCCCCTCGAGGCGCGCGAGGCACTGCAGGCAAGGGGCGGGTGCTGGGCTGGGTGGGTGGAGATGCGTGTGTGGAGCAGGGCTGCCATTCATTAGGGACATCGCATCCCTACCCCACGCACCACGCTCTGCCTCCTCCACCGCTTGACACCCAGCAGCAGCCAGTGGCACCACTCACCGCAGCCCCCTCTCATACTTGTCCCCGAATGGGCCAGCAGCCAGGGCGCCAGGCATGACAGGCTCCAGCAGCGCCACACCGCTGGCAGGCACCGCTACTGCAGTAGAGGGCACACAGGGCAGCCAGAGGAAGGCGGCGTCGGCGGCTGCCCAGCACCCAGCTGCAGACGGCGCAGAAGATGCAAGCTGGGACAGCGGGACCGGCAGCCCAGAGGTCCAGAGGCCCGCCGCAATCGCCCTTGCTTGCTAGCCAGGCTGCCTCGGCTCACCCGGCTCCTCCCCGCCTGCAAACGCCGCCCCCTGGGCTGCTCCCAGCGCCAGCGGGCCAGCTGTGGTGTTGCCGGCGCAGGCCAGCAGCTTGGCCACGGCGGTATCGAAATTCGAGGTGGCGCTAGTGAGGGGGGAGGGCAGCGGGCACTGCTCCTGGTACTGATGCGGTACCGGCGGCTGCTGCACCTGCGGTGCCGCGTCAGCTGGCGGGTATTTGTGCTGCAGAGCAGCCAGCTCCTGGTGAGAGAGGAGGTGGCGGGGCTGCTCCTGCGATGCCCTCGCACCCGGCGCCTGCTGGTACAGCGCGGGCTGGGCCGCGGCTGCGGGGCCCTGCAGCAGCGCCAGCTCGCGAGCGTCACGCGCCGCCGCAGCCTGCCGCTGCCGCTCCAACTCCTGCTGCTGGATGGCCTCCAGCACCTCCCACTCCTGCTCCTGGTCGCTGAGAGCACGGAATGCAACAGGCGGCAGGCAGGCCGGGTGGGCCAGGGAGCCAGAGGCATGCAAAGTGTGGAGCCTGGGGTGGGCGGTGACACGCGGGCCTGTTGCAGGCAATCCCCCGGCACATGCAAGCAAGCCCTCAGGCCCACACCCACACCCACACACCTGGTGTAGTCTCCCAAGTCGGCCAGGTCATCAGCATCCAGCATGGAGCGCACAGCGGTGGCTGGGGCACCAGCCAGCCCCGGCCCGGGCTGGCCGTGCACAAACGGGGTGGGCACGGAGCTCAGCAGTGCCTCCAGCACGGGGCTCAGCTGCTCCTGTGGCCGCGCCTGGGTCTGCTGGTACGAGGGCAGCGGCAGGCTGCTGCCGGCAGCGCCGCCGCTGCCGCTGCCGTGCCGTGCCTCGAAAGATGCACGCAGCGGCTGCGCCTGCAGCCTAGCGGCCAGGTCACGCGGGTCGAGTGGCGGCAGGTCGGCGCGGCGGGGCGAGTTGGGCACACTGAATGACACATGCTTCCTGGCGCCAGCCGCAGCGCCAGGCAGCCCACGGGGCAGCGCCAGGTCATCAACACTGGCATGACGCAGGCTGTGGTTGCCTCGCAGCTGCTGGAACTGCCGCTGCTGGGCGGCCAGCGGGCCCCAGGCTGCCGACGGCAGGTCGCCGCACGCAAAGCTGGCGGACAGGCGCAGCTGGCTCTGCACACAGCGCAGGGAGCCGGATGTGACCAGCAGCAAAGCAATGCAGACCACCAAAATGAAAGAAACATGCAGCGTCAATGGGCGTGCGCCCAAAACCATCAACCCCTGCACCCCACACCTGGTCATCGGGCGCAAAGGCGCCCTGCCCCACACGGTCCATCGAGAATGGGGCGTAGAAAGTCAGGTCGCAGCTGCTGGCCCGGGAGTGCAGGGGCACAATGCCATGCCCCGCCGCCTGCTCCTCCTCTTCCGCATCTTGCTCACGAGCCAGCGCTGCATGCCAAGGGGATGGGAGCTCCTCCTGCTGCTGCTGCTGCTGCTGCTGCTGCTGCTGCTGCTGCTGCTGCTGCTGCGGGCTGCTAAAACCAGAAGATTGGGAGAAGCCATCCTCTTCTGACTCGGGAGCGGTGTCAAGGCCGTCGTCAAGTGAGAAGAAGGGACCTTGGGCTGGCGCGGCAGCCTCGCGGTTGCGAGCCGCTGTGGCAGCAGCTGCGGCGGACTCAGCCTCCACCACCGCTGCACCCAAGCCCGGTGCGTTGCTGGGCAAACCAAGCGGCGAGCTGGTGCGCAGCAGCGGGGATCCCCGGAAGCGCGTGCTGGACCCAGGGGTGGAGACGTTGCTTGTGCTGCTGCGCACGCTTCCGCGGCTGCTCTGCCGCCCCAGCGAGCTGAGCGGGGTGGAGGTGGGGGACAGCTGCTGCAGGCTGCGCTGACGCAGCTGCACACAGGGTGAGGAGCACAGCAGGAATATCATGGTCATTGCACAAAGCTCCTTATGCACAGGGGGGCCCAAGCAACACATGCCAGCGATGGCATCTGTCCATCACCCCACTCTGCCCATCCCACCTACCTGGCTGAGACCCAGGGGCTGGGAGGCACGGGCTGACAGCGAGCCAGTCTCGCCTGGTGCTGGGACAGCAGCAGGCACCTCCTGCTCCGAGCTGGCTGCCCCACCGTAGCGCGCCTGCTGGAGCTGCAACCCAGCCGCAGCGGCCTCCTGGTGCTGGCCCTGCCAGTGCAGCGGTGCCGCTCCCCGCGGAGTCGAGTAAGCTGCGTCCGCCTCTGCGCCCTGCCCACCACGTGCCTCGGGAGTTGCCGCAGCATCCCGCTCGCCAGAGCCACCACTGCCTGCCGCATCGCTGCCAAAGCCTCCCTCAACCGACTTGATGAGGCGAGCAGACTCTGCCAGCAGGCTGGCGACGGGAGTGGACAGCCTGTTGCCTTCGCCCTGCGGCTGACTCTCGCCAACTCCTGCCTGGCTGTCGCCTGTGATGCCGCTGCCTGCCTCCAAAACTCTCCGGCTGCCGCCGATGTCCGCAATTGCTGCCTTGGACAGGCACGGCGATGGCGAGTGCTGCCTGCGCTGGAGCGGAGTGCCGCTGCCCTTTTCAGCTGGTGCCATGCTGGGCTCCTGCGGGCTGCTGTTCTCCTCTTGGGTGCTGGCATTCCGCCGCCGCAGCGACTCCACGCTGACGACGCTGGTTGCTGGGCTGCCTGCGCTGGTCAAGCCGGAGAGCGCCTCGCCTGGGCGCTGATGCTGCCTTCCCTTGCGCTCCTGCAGCAGCCAGCAAGGTGCGAAAGCTTCAGTGGAAGAGTGAGCCCTTGCAAGAATCAAGGGCCTGCACGAGTGTGAGAGAAGGCGGGCAGACACTCCTGCGCACTTTGCGCTCCGCAGACTTGTCGGCGTCAGCAGCCCGGTTCTCCTCATGGGCGCCATCCAGCTCAGCACCAAAGGCATGCAGCACGCCAAAGAAGGCAGCCGGATCTGCCAGGGTGCTGCGCTGCCCATTGATGAGGCTGCCCAGCTGCCTGCAGCACACGATGAACGCAGAGGCAGAGACACATCCTGAGGCATTTGAATTGACTGCACCAGTAACAAGCTGATGGCAAGCTCGACGCAGGCTGACTCATGAAGCGACAGGCGATCCACTCGCCTGAAAGCGCTGTCTGCCTCCTCCACTGCCGCTTGTGCCGCGCCGAGGCGATCCAGCGCCTCTGCCCTGAAGAATGTCATGTGCGCCAGGCAGGCACCCGGGTCGGCGCCGCCCGCCCCAGCGCCCTCCTGCGCCACGGCAATCAGGCCCTCCACACGCCTGACCCCTGCCGCTAGCTCCACCACCTCCGCCCGCGCCTGCTGCCAGTCCAGCCTCGACGCAGCCTGTGCGCTGGGCAGCGCCGCGCCGAGACAGGCGCCGGCGGGGTGCTGCCGAGACACCTCGCGCGCCACAAAGTGCAGCAGGGTGCGGCTGCGGGCCCGAGTGGACTTCACTTCCTTGAGCTTGAGCAGGGCATCTATCTGGAAGCCGGCGGCGGCGCCGTTGTGGTTGCCGGCGCTCAAAAAGTTGCCTGCGGTGTGTGTGTGGGGGGGGCAAGGATCCAGGCTCCCTCCTCACAACAAGAGTGGCTTAAATGCGCAGCCTTCCTCAGCAGCTTACTCTACTGTCGCAGGCTGCCTTTCCATGAATGCACCATGGCGTGCCGTCCACCCAAAAGCGCCGCCGCCTGCTCACCTGCGAGCATCGCCACCTTGAGTAGCGTGCGCAGCATGTCGCTGTGCCGAACCTCCTGGCAGGCGCGGGACAGCAACGAGGCGGCCGCCTCCACCGCCTCGGCGCGAGCCGCAAACCCAGAGCTGAAGGGCAGGGCCTCCAGCCCCTGCTCCAGGCCAGGCAGCTGCATCATCTGTGGCAGGTGCAGCAGGGAGAAGAAGGGCAAACATGTGTGCAGCACTGAAATGATGCAGGATGCCCTGCCCTCATTTGATGCAGCATGCTGGCCGAGAGCTGGGCAAAACTTGACCAAGTCCTGCCCACCCACCTCCAGCATGAACTGCTCAGCACTGCCCAGCCCCTCTGGCTGGCCACCATAGCCGCGCAGCAGCTGCTTCTCCTCAGCGCTGCATCGAGGGGATACAACAGAGAGGCAGCGCCACAGGCCATCAGCAACCATGGCCGCTCACAACAGCAGTGCAAAGCACCCTGCCTGCAGCTCTGCACCTTGGCAGGCACGCCAACAGCCGCTTCACTTGCTCCTCTGTCAGGTCTGGTGCACCAGGATAGGCCTCCCTGTCCAGCAGCCTCAGCACGGCCTCCTGGGCCTGCAGAGACACATGGCCGGAGCAGAGGGGCTCAAGCTCAGAGGCGCAGCTTGAATCAAAGCACGTGCACAAGAGTGCGCCGACCGCATCGCCTGTGCCCACCTGCCGCGTGGTAAGGTCGAGGTCGGCAAGGAGAGCGCCGACCTCCTGGCAGCGCTGCATGGGCAGCAGCATCATGGGCACAGAGGCGCCGCCGCCGCTGGAGGCGCGGGGCGAGCTCTGCAACGGCAGGCAACAAGACTTGCTCAACACAGCTGGTGCCGGCCCCCCTGCCCGCCCCTGGCTGCCCCTGGCTGCATCTGCCCGCCCCTGGCTGCATCCACCATTGCCCCATGCCCACCTGCTCCCCGGTGCCTGCAAACTCCGCCTGCAGCTGCTGGAAGTCCACCCCAGCCTCCACTCCCTCCAGCAGGCCCCATACCATGTCCCGGGCCTGTGTGGGAGCAAGGCAGGCAGCATGGCACCGCGGTGTGCCACCAGGAACCACGGTGCAAGTCGCAGATCGACAGCAAAAGGCAGAGCGCCCCAACCCTGGGCTCCCAGCAGCTCCAAGCTCACCTGCGAGTTGTCCAGGCCATCGATCGACTGGGGCGGCGTGGGCTGCTGCTTCTGCTGCTCACTCGATGCCACAGAAGGCATGTCAGGGCCTGCCTCGCTGGTGCCATACTGGGTTGGCGAGTCTCCAGACGAAGCAGTCGCAATGGGCACCAATGAGGCCTGCTGAGATGCACGAGTGCTGGCGTCCGCCGGCTGAGCCTCTGCCTCTGAAGGCCCAGGCGCTGCCTGATCTGCTGCTGCAGAGGCGCCGCCAAGCATGGCTGCAAGCCGCAGCAGCGGCACCCTCGGCTCGCTGCCGCCAGCAACTGCAGAGTGCTCCTGCGCTGCTTCCTGTGCTGCTTCCGGCGCGGTGGGCGCGCTGGTGGCACTGTCGGCAGGTGCCTCGTCTTGCACCCTGCTGTGCACGGTTGGCTCAACTGATGCCGGCACCGACGCAGCGCTGGCTGTCCGGGCGCCAGACTGTGCGGAATGCGCCCGCTGCGGCCCCTGCCTGCTGGTCAGCAGCATGTGTGACACCCGGTGGGCACCTGCGGTGGGAGGCAGGCGTCAAGCATCCTCCGCCCCAAGCACACAAGGCAGCCACCTCGCTGCTAGCGCTGGCACGCAAAGTTGTCACCAGCATGCAGCCGGGCAAAGCAGACAGCCCCAGGCCTCCACAGCACCAAGTGCAAGCGTCGCACCTGAGTTGTCCTCTGCCATGTGCCCAAGCAGTGTGATGCGCAGGAAGCGCTGCACCTCCAGCCCCCTGCCCAGCCTGAACAGGTGGCGCAGCTGGTGCAAGCTCTTGGGCTGCAGGTGGATGTCTCCCAGCCGCTCAAACGCGGCGGTGGCGGTGGGCGCGTGCTCGAGGCGCACGATGCGCGGCACCGAGGCGGGCTCTGCAAAGGTGATGCGCAGCGTGATGTCCGAGCTGCAAGAAAGCCAAGCGAGGCAGGAGGGGATGAAGCGGCAGCATTCGTGAGGCAGCATGGCCATGAATGAAACTAGCTATAAGCCAGTTGACATGGCAGAAATATCACAGGAGCAAGAAGTAGCCGCTCTGTGAAAGTGTGGCACTCACGGCCAGGCATACCGCGCCCTGTCATTCATGCCAAGCTGTGCCCAGCCACTTACGTGTGGCGGCCCCACAACTGCAGGATGCAAGACGACTCCAGGAGCAGCACACGGTGGCCGCGCGAGGTCCAGCAGGCTCCTGCTGACGGCGCCGCTGAGCTGTGCGGCGCAATGACATCCTTGCAGCCGGTGCCCGTGGCGGTGGTGACGCAGCGCACAATGGACAGCTCAGATGGCGGGATGGTAGGCGCGGCAGGATCCGGCAGCTGCGTCTCTTCCCGCTCCTGCTCCAGCAGCCTGTCCTGCTGCAACACCTGGTGCTCCTCCTGCTGCTCCTGCGGCGGCGGGTGCTGGGGCGTCGCCGCCTGCTCAGCAGCCGGGCCCGCGGCGGGCTGCTGCGAGACGACTCCTGACATCCCGGGAGTGCTGGGCGGCGCTCCCAGGGTGGGCGTGGCCGCCCGCCGCTGAGAGTGCTCCTCATGTAGCTGCTCCAGGCGCTGATCGTATGTCGCCAGCTCCGCCTGCAGCGCCTGCTCCTCGCTGTCGAGCTCCGGGTCGCCAATGACGCTGCTCAGCACGCTGCGGCGACAAACAAAGCAGCAGCAAAGCGGAGACAGAGCTCGGCATAGGGCAGGCATGCAGCAAGCCCTGCACCTCATGCGCAAGAGAAAACCTCACAGCTCACCTGCACGTGGGTGTGGCAGCGGGAATAGGCGCAGGCCGTGCTGCGCTGGCGGCAGATGCCGTGCCGGCGGCATGGGCGTCCAGCAGAGGCACCAGCCTCCGAGTGCTGTGGGTGGCAGGCTTGCAGCCCACGCGGTGCACCGAAGGGCTGGGAGCCCTGCACATCAATGCGTGCGTGTTCGATTCACACATAGTCGTACATGCAATCCTCTTGCTGCTATGCAGGAAAGATGCCGAGGAGGGCCTCACTGCACATGCACCACATAGGCATCGTCCCTCACCTGCTTCCTGACAATGACACATTCTTCAGGCTGCTGAGTGGCCGATCAAACACCCTGCAGCAGGCCAGCCCATCAGGGTGGCGGAGAGTGCGGGGGGTGAGAAAGCGGGCGGCAATGCGGCACATCAGACCGCCCCGGGCGTTGCACTGCTCAGAGATGCAGCTTGGGAAAAGCCCTGCAGTCTGCGGTGACCCCATCATGACTGGCAACGCACCCGCTCTTCCTGAATGCGCTGCGCGACTGGCTGGCACGCAGGGAGCCCAGTGCCGCCACCCGTGGCAAGTGGGCGTCGTCGTTGTTAGTCGACACCTGCTGCTTGCGCTGCAGCGCGGCGGCATAGCCCTGCGTGGAGCCAGCGAAGGTGCACAACGAGGCAGGCTGGGGAGAGCGCATTCTGTGCACCGCGAAGCCAAGTCCGCCCACGCTCACCCGTCGGCTCGAGTTTTCCTTGCTGTTGCTCATGCCGCTCCCTGCATTGCGAACGCACGCCGTCCAAGGGACCCGCGGACAAGCGGAACAGGGCCTGCCTGTCGGGAGCTGACTTGCTCCCTCCACCTCATGTGTACTGCTGGCCCTCGTCAGGCGCGCACCAGGATGCTCCCAGCCGGCTCCAATTCAAAATGTCGGCCTCCTGATCAGCGCTGGCTGCGGCTGGCGGAAAACAGGCGCTTTGCTTGTTTGTCCCTTGTGATGGCGGCTCTGTAGCGACTGACTCGTCCCAGTGGCACGCGTGATAGTTCTCGAGGCCAGCCGCCATGGAGCGCCAGCTCCAGCACCGCCGGCTGCAGCACGAGGCCATCGCCGCCTCCACCGCCACCACCCTGTACGGCGCGCTGGTCTACCTGAACCGTGGAGGGCTGTGCAAGGAGCCCCTCAGCCCCGCCATGTTTGCGCGGCCCAACCTCAAGGGACTGCAAGCGGTGCTGCACCTGCTACACCACCGCATCCGCGGCGCGGCACGCACCAAAAAGGTACGCGGCCACCACCACCGCACCCACGTGGCTGCCCTTCTCCCCTGTCCAGGGGCTGCATGCCTCTCCAACCCGTGGTTGCTCCGATCAACGATGCAAAATTCCTCCTTTTGAATTGCAGGAGCTGCAACATGTGTATCCTGTGCTGGAGCCTGGGCAGGGCCGGGAGTTTAAGGCGGTCATGCAGGGCTGGATTCGGGAGCTGGGTGAGGCGGGGCTGGTGCTCCCCGACACAGTCAAGTACTTTGTGACCGCCTACCAGGGCAGCAACAGCCACCGCACGGTGCTCATGCTGCTGGATCTCAGGTGTGCAACGGTGGTGCCGGCAGCAGCTGAAACAGCTTTTTGTTGGTTGGTGGCAGGGAATGTCTGCATGCATGCCAGCTGGAAACGGCTGCAGCCAAGGCTGGTCTTGATTGTGACCCCCCTGCTCCTGCTACGACCCCCTCCTCCTGCAGCACTGTGGCGCTGGGCCGAGAGCTGGGCGAGGGGCCGCAGGCAGGGCTGCCCGGTGTGGAGCTGGTGCAGCCGCACGCTGCGGCAGTGGTGGGCCGCCTGCCGCGCGGCGCACGGCAGGCGGCGGCCGCTGCACAGCGGGAGCTGCAGGCGCGAATGGACGAGGTGGTTGCCGCCATGCAGCGCCTGAAGCAGCTGCAGGCGCAGGCGGCGGGACAGCTGGCGGCGGGGCACGCGGCTTCGGGGGCGGCGGCAGCCCAGCTGGCGCCACACGTGCCGCCGCTCTTCTCGGCCTCCCAGGTGGGTGAGGTCACTGGGCGCAGGCGAGTTCCGTGGCGTCCTGGTTTGTCATCCAGTCATGCTTGCTTCCGGCCACCTCATGGGGGCATGCCTTGGCCTCTCTCACCCTCGCCTTGCCCACCTGGCCTGCAGGCCGCCGCCCGGCGCGGCGAGCTGGTGCTGGAGCTGCTGTCGCATGGGCCGCCCCTCACAGTCCAGCCCGAGGCGGTGCGGCCCGACAGCTGGGCAGACCTGCTGGCCGCGGGCAAGGCTGGAGTCGCCACGGGCGAGGGCGCAGCGGCATCCCCCGCAGTGGCAGCTCGCCGGCTCAGCAACCCGGCGCAGGAGGCGAGCAACTTTGCGGCAGAAGGGCTGGCTGCAGATGCCGACGTCATCACCGTGCACGGCGTGCTGACTCAGCGCCTGCACGCTGCGGGCGCCGCACTCCAAGCGGCGGTGTCCAGCGGTGCACCGCCAGGCGCCCCTGAAGTGCAGGCCACGCTCGCTGAGGCGGCCGTGTATAGAGGTGAGCGAACGCTGGCCTCTTTGTGCGGCTGAGCCTGGGTTGGAATGCGTGCTGTGGCTCTGATTCGCCGACCCTGTCTGCGTGCAGAGAGCCTCATGCTGAGTGTGTGGCAGGAGCTGGCAGCAGCGCAGATCCGGAGCGAGCAGCGGGCGCCAGCTGGTGCCTGCGGAGGCGGCAGCAGCCGGCCAGCCCTGCTGCGGCTGCTGCCTCCCAGCCAGCCGCCCTGCAACCCGGTCTTAGAGGGTCTTCAGGCTGCTCAGGCAGCGGCAGCTGTGGCGGCTCCTGACACTGCATCGGACAGCTGCGGCTGGGCGACGCCGGAGCCGCGGGAGGTGCAGGCGCTGCGGCGTGCCATGTGGCAGCTGGCAGAGGAGGAATGCGGCGGCACCAGAAGCCAGCACGATGGCGGCACCCTGGCGCCGTCACCTTGCGACCAAACAGATGCGTATCGAGCTCTTTCAGCAGAACCGGCATCGCCGCTGGTGCTCGCCGGTAGCACAGCTGCGGCAGGCAGCTCCACAAGCAAGGCGGGGCCAGGGGCTAGGCAACCGCCGGGCCAGCGCATCAGCAGCCCCAGCCTCGCAGACATGCTCAGCAACAGCAGCGGCCTGGCTGCCTTGCCGCTGCTGTCTGAGGGGCTGGATGAGTTGCCGGCGGCAGTCGCGGCTGGCTTGCCATCGCCGCAGGATACCTGGCCCCACAGCCGGCAGCACGAGCAGCAGCAGGGGTCCCCCTGCATGGCAGAGAGCTGTGCCTCTGCCTCAATCATGGGAGGCCATGGGCAGCACAGCAATGGCAGCAGCGCCGACGGGGCAGGTAGAATGCACGCTGGCGGCAGCAGGCCACAGCTGCTGGCAGGCTCGCCCATGCTGTCCGCGGCCGCTAGCTTCATGCCGCCCCGCCGCCAGCACTTGGAGCAGCAGGGGCAGAGCCAGGGCTGCTCTCGTCAGCCGCATGCCGCCAGCAGCTGTTCATTGCCGCCGCTACCTGCCACATCACCGCCGCATTCTCCGCTATCGCCTCTGCATGGCGGCGCCCTCAGCCCAGCCACCAGCAGTCCCGCCGCCTTTCGGCAGCTTGTCGGCAGCACTAGCCAGGACGTTGGCAGCCCAGCAGTGCCATGGCGGCAGGCTGCTCTGGCTGCTGCGGCGTCAGCAGGCGCCGCAAGCTCCCCAAGTGCAGGCAGCAGCAGGCGGCGAACATCGAGCATCACAGTCACGCTCACACCCCCCAAGCGTCTGGCAGAGGACAGCCCCCTGCCTTTGCCTCCGCAGCCGATTGGTTCCCTAGGGAGCAGTCCCATTAGAATGCCAGGCGGCAGCAGCGATGGCGGCAGCAGCGGCGCTGCAACTCCCGTCAGCAAGCTTTTCGGCGGCGGCAGCGGCAGCCCGTGGCAGGGCAGCAGCCCCGCATCCTCGCCGGTGCTGCAGCCCACCCAGCAGCAGCGACAGTGGGCAAGGGGGCCAGCGCAGAACAGCCGGGCCTTCAGCCCCGGCGATGCCTTGCTAGCATCCTGCTTGAAGAGCAAAGGGGGTGCTCTGGCGCCGTCACCTTTTGCCTCACCAGCACCGTCCCAGGACCAGCAGCAGGAGCCGCTGCTGGCAGCTGATGTGATGCAAGGGCAGCATCTCAATGGCCAGTGGATGCTGGCCGCCGCCCGCAGCACCTCCCCGGCAGCCACGCCAGTGCCAGCCAGCCGCCCCGCCAGCCCACGCCTGAGTGGCGGCAGCGGGGGCAGCATGGGTCGGCGGCGCAGCGCAGCTCTGCACACCACCAGCTCGCCGGCCGCCCGCCAGCAGCCGCATCGCCTGGCCAGCAGCTCGCAGATGCCGGTGCCGGCAGGGAGGGCCGCAGAGGGGCCAAGCACAGGCCTGCTCAGCCCGCCCAGGTGCCTGGACACGCCCACCAGCCACTCCCTGCTGCCCTCTCACACAGCAGCGGTGGGGCGCACCTGCAGAGAGCAGCAGGAGGGGCTGTCCCCAGCCTCAACCATGCTCACCCCGCCACGCTCCCTGATGGCCTCCCCAGGTGGGAACAGTTGCTCCACAGTCATCATCTGCTGGAGCTCGCGCAGCCATCCCCCTGGCATGCTGCATCCAGCAGAGCTGCGGTGGCTTGACCAGTCACCAAGTTTGCCCTGAATCCATGGGTTTTGTTTTTTGCAGAGACGGTGGGACGCGGCAGCTTTGCGGCTGGCGGTGGCGGTCAAGCAGGCACAGCAGACAGCGGCGGCATGTCGATAGATGCGCTGATGCAGCGCCTCAAGCTGCTGCCATCCAAGGGCCCTCGCTGACGAGACTTGTAGCCTTGTAGCATCTCTAGGTAGGAGCACCGGCTTTCCCATTGTTAGCTTGTAAATCCCAGTCAATCCCAGGCACGCTGCTTGCTTACACTGTGTACATGGTGTGCCACTCAATGTGTGGGCCCAGTCACAGCGCAAACCTGGCCACTCCATCCGCCACCCGCACAGCATCCCGCACCGCCGCCACGTTGTGGGCGCGGATGATGTTGGCACCGCCCGCCACGCACAGCGCGGCAGCCGCTGCCGTGGCATAGTCCCTATCCTCTGCCCGCTCCCGCCCCGTCAGGCGCCCCAGGAAGCCCTTGCGCGAGGGCCCCGCCAGCAGCGGCAGCGCCGCCAGCGGCGGCGGCAGCGCGCGCCGCAGCTCGCCCAGCCGCGCCAGCAGCTGCAGGCTGCCGTCTGCGGTCTTGGCAAAGCCCAGCCCCGGGTCCAGCACGAGCCGCCAGGGCTCCACGCCCGCAGCAATGGCAGCCTGTGCGGTGGCCGCAAGCTCAGCCGCCACCTCTGCCACCACGTCGGCGTACGCCGTGTGCCGCGCCTGCTGCATGTCCTGCGGCGTCCCTCGCATGTGCATGACCACGTACGGCACGCCCAGCTGCGCCACCTGCTGGGCAGGGGCAGAACAGGCACTTTGAATGTGGCATAGCCACATTACAGGTGCTGGGGTGAGCGGCAAGCACCGAGCAGCAAGGCAGCAGTCTCCCGGAGCCCCACCAGCGCGGTCCCAGCCCCGGGATGGGCCACCCCCAGCCCGCCTCCCACCTCACCCCGCCCACCCCACCTGGCGGTGCATGCCCGGGTCCATGCCTCCCCCAGACACATCGTTGACCATGGTGGCGCCCGCAGCCACCGCCGCCGCCGCCACGTCAGCGTGGAAGGTGTCCACAGACAGCGGCAGCGCGGCGATGGCCTCCTCCCGCGCCAGCGCCTCTATCACCGGCACCACCCGCGCCGCCTCCTGCTCCGCCGACAGCAGGTCTGCAGGAGGTGGCTTGCAGGGGCGGCCAGCAGGTGGGGAGGGGCCTCAGGGCACCGGGGCCACAAACGGCGACAAGTACGAGCCCCAGCCCAGCTGGCCGCCTGCCCAGCAGCACCGGCAGCAGCCCACGGCCGGCCGGCACAGCAAGGGTGCTGCGCCGCACCGGAGCCGGGGCGCGTGGACTGGCCGCCGACGTCGATGATGTCTGCGCCGGCGGCTGCCAGCGCCTTGGCGTGCGCCACCGCGGCGCCCAGGCTGGCGTGCCGCCCGCCGTCGCTGAAGCTGTCTGGGGTGACGTTGAGGATGCCCATGACCTGCAGCCAGAGAGAGAGAGTGTGCGTGTGTGTGTGTGTGTGTGTTGGGAGGAAGGGGAGAGGGATGGAGAGGTGGAGGTGGAGGGCAAGCCTTCTGGGAGGCCCCAGCGAACCGTCAGGCAGCCGGGTGACGGATGGCAGTCGCCGCCTCTGCCCGCCACTCAGCGCAGGGAGCAGACCGCGCTGCCGGCCCACCTGCGTGCGTCGCTGCCAGGGCCAGAGCCCCAGGCGGCCCATGGGCAGCACACACTCCAGGTCGGGTGTGCCCAGCTGCCGCTCGCCGCCCGCAGCCTGCCACAAGCCGGAGGCCAGCCGCAGCTGGCGCTGGAGGCCGCCCTCGCCGCCGCCAGCGCTCCCCTCTGCCCCCTCGCTGCTCTCGCCGCCCGTAGGCGCACGGCCTGCCTGCCGCGCCGCTGCTGCAGGCAGGGCAGCGCTCCCCGCACCACCGCCGCCGGCGCCGCACAGGTCTGCCAGCGGTGCTTTCACAAAGTCCCGTTCCTGCCATCGCGGGTGGGGCACCACCAGCGCCTCCCCCTCTGCCACCGTCTGATCTTCAAAGAACACAATGTCGAGATCGATGGGGCGGGGGCCCCAGCGGCGGGCGGAGGGGCCAAGGTCGCGCCCCAGCCGTGCCTGCAGGGGCGGCACGCGACGACGGGCACGGCTCGAGTGCAGGAGCTCCGCAAAAGAGGCACGACAGGCAGCCTCTCATAGGCACTCACCTGCATCTGAGCGCTGGCAGACATCATCTGAGCGCGAACACCGGAACCAGCGCGAACACAGGCTGCCCCCAAGCTGCCGGCGCTCCCCACCACCCCACACCCACCCACCCACCTCAATGGCCTTCAGGCGGCGCAGCAGCTCCAGCGGCGGCAGCACCGTCTCCACCATCGCCGCGGCGTTGAGGAAAGGCGGCTGGTCGGTGACATAGGCGGGGGCGGACTCGTACAGCCGCGACAAGCGGCACACCTGCAGAGGGCTGGCGTTGTGGGCGTGAACGGGCGGCCGCACATGTTGGCTCCCGGTCCAGGGAGGGTCAAGCAGCTTAACGGACCCCGACCATAACCTGCCTATTCCTGTCCTGCCTGCACCCAAACCAAGCAAACGGGACACGGGCTCCATTTATGGCATGAGAGCCACGCACCTGTATTCCGTCGTCTGCCAGCGCCCGCACCGCCGCCAGCAGGTTGCCGAGGCGGTCGCCCTGCAGTGGCGGCGGATCCATCAGGCGCATCAGCGCATCCTGCACATTCAGCATGTGTGGCTGGCGGCGCAGGGCACTGCGATGCTGCGGCCCACGAGCTGAGCGGCGAGTCCCCACCAGGTTCGAGCCCAGGGCGATTGCAGTCTGCCTTCGTCCCGCCATTCTGATGGATGAGTAGGAGCGCAGGCAGCACGGCTAAGCCTCAATCCTATGAGGTCCAGCGGGCGGCAGCGGGCGCAGCAGGCGGTGGTCGGCGCCTGACAGAGTGAGGCATTTGGTGATGTTTACAAGTGTCAGGATCAGTGAACCAGGAATTTAGGTGAAACTGTATACAGTAGACTTCCACATACCCTCATCGGTGCTGATTGCCCGCGCTTCAACTCGTGCGACACTCTGCACGCAGCACTCTCTGAGCACATGCTTGTGTAACACTCTTTCACTTGCCTGCCGTGATGATCTGCACGGAAAATGAAGCAACGGGGGCTCTGAGAGAGGTTCTGAGAGAGGCGTGCATCCATGGCCAATCTCGCAGCGGGCCGCTAGGTAGGGGCATGTGACACTGCATTTATGGCGCCCCGCGTCAAACCAGCCTGCCAGTGGAAGCACACCTCGTTGAGCTTGTCATACAGCTCGCCAAAGGCGGGCGGCGCAGAAACGGGCTTCGTGCCGGCACCCAGGATGTCGGCTGTCTCCACGCCCTGCCCGTACGCGGCCTGGTTGTGTTCCGTGGACACCTTGAGGGAGCCAACTGCATCATGTGCGCGCATCGGCAGGCACCAACATGATAGCCTGTGGTAGCTTGCAAAAGGCCCAAGCAGACCCATGCTTGGCCAGCAGCACCGCCTGCAGCAGCAACTTCGAATCCAGCTGCCCGTGCGCCGCCTACCTGCCGCGGAGAGGTCCACCAGCAGCCCATCCGCCAGGCCAATCGACACAACATCCTCCAGAGTCAGCGAGTCAAAGCTGACCCCGCCGGAATGCCAGTTCTGCAGGCCAGGCGCGGCCAACACCACCTCAGTGCTACAATCGCGGCACCACAGGCAGCAGAGCAGCAGCGGGATGCGCCTGCTATCTGCTCCCCACCCGCTGCCTGTGCTTGTGAAAACCAGGCGCAGCAAACACTGCGGCAGCAGTGCGCATGCCAGCACCTCTGACAGTGTCAGGTTGGCGTCAGCGGCCACCGCCGCGCTGGTGGAGCCGCGCGTCTTCAGCAGCTCGGCGGCTTTGTCGCTCAGCACGAGGGACAGGGAGGAGGCCTCGTGCTTGCCTGCACCAGCACGAAGGAGACGCCAGCGTGAGCCGAGCAGCACCACACGTGCACGCTGGTGAGAGCAGCGGCGTCAGCGGCGCCGGCAGGTTCTCCCAGGAGCATTTGGCGTGCCATGGTTGCTGTGCTGTCCAAGCAGGATGGTGTCCCATCGCACCGATGGTGGCTCCCAGCGAGATGGAGCCGGCGGTGAGGAAGCAAGGGGCGCTCCAACTCGCGGTGCCGTCCTGAAAGGTGCGCAGGCGGGTGATGGTGAAGCCGCTGCCCTTGGAAACGCCAACCACCAGCCCGGTTTTGGTGGTAAAGACAAACTGGAGTGCCTGCAGGCAGAGCAGAGCACGCGCGGTTGTGTTGGAAGGGCTGCAGCGGCGGCGGCGGCCGGGCCGTGCAGCGGCTGGCAGCGCCATCACCTGCGCCTTCCTCAGCAATTTAGGGTGCAGAATGTACTCGGGCTCCACGTTGCCCTCGCGGTCGTGCGGGCGGGTGGCATACTCGAGCAGGCTCAAGGCTTTGGCAACGAGCTCCTCGTCCGACATCTCGATGTAAACCGAGCCTAGAAGACTGCTGTGGATTGACAGGTCGAATCCCGATGGCACAAGTACCTGCAAGCTCATGCCTGCAAAGCTGAGGCGGCGCCGGGTCGCATCTGCCGCAGGGCGGCGGGTCCTCTGCGGTGCATCTTGGCAGAGGGTGAAATGTAACCGAGGGATGGCTTGAATGCTTCTCAGCATAAGCATAGGCCCAGCAAACCAGCCTCAAAACAGCAGGGCACAAATCCCGCCTACTCTGCCAGAGCAGTATGCCCACTGTGCCCGCCACAGCAGGCATAGCACCGGCTCGAAATGTTTCGACGAAACCGCACGGGGAGGCTCGCACGTCACATATCAGCTGCCCGTTTGCTCAAAGTGGCCCTGCAAGCGTAGCGCATGGGGGTTCCATTCGCGGCCCGGTTTGCCCTCCTGGCGCAGCTCCTAGGCTGCACTTGGCCGCAGTTGGGAGCACAAGGGGCGTTAGTGCAGCAGTCGGCGCTGAATGTCGAGGTGCTCGCCGCACAGCAGCCCGCCGCCCGCTCCGGCTTGCCGGGCTGGATGGAACTCCACGAAAGGCTGACTCAGGAAGCAATGGCAGCAAGGGAGGCAAGGGTGAGGGTCAAGCTGCTTCTATACACCCTGTATCTGCGCGCCAGTGCCCATGTTGACATGCGCTTTGTGTCCGCCGAGGCTGCGGCAACCACTCCTCTGCTCCTCTGCACTGCCCACCACACGCTCGCCTCATCCCCATCACCTGCCTGGGCTGCAGGGTACGGGCCTGGTGATTTATGGCGATTCCATAATGGAAGCGTTCCGGGGGACCAGCATGGGCATGGATTTCCCCGACAGGTATCACCAGAACAAGGCAGCCTACAACACGTTCATGGGCCCCAAAAAGTGAGTGGAGCGGTGGCAGCGGCGAGCAGCATGACAGGCTCAGCGGAGCAGGCGCCAGGGGCATGCACGACAAGCTGTCGTGAGTGCCCGCCCCTGACGTGCAGGGCGCTGGTGCTAGCCATCAGCGGCGACCAGATTGTGCACTTGCTGTGGCGGCTACAGAATGGTGAGGGCCCCAAAGGCCTCGACCCCCAGGTTGTCACCGTCATGATTGGAACCAACGACCTGGCGCACCTCACATCCCTGCTCCAGGCAAGAGTTCCCCGTGTGCCCTTATTGTTGCTGTGCTGTCTTTGGTCGCAATGCACGATTTGGTTCCTGCTCCCTCCTTCTCCTTCCGTGCTTTTGCTTATGGCACTGATGGCAGTTCGATTTGCGATTTGGTGCCTACTCCCTTCTTCTTCTTGTTCTTCTTTCAGGATGATGACGAGCGCATTGCTGCCACCATCTCGCGTGGGGTACAGCAGAGCGTGCGGGAGGTGCAGCAGCAGGCGCCCCAAGGTGCACGACTGGCCTGCCGATGGCTGCCTGGTCCTCAGGCTGGGCGGGCAGGAGCCAGGCACAGCACAGTGCATAATGTCATGGGAGGCCATTGGCATACTCACAGACTTGCAGGCGCCTGATGCCTCGGCCCTGCTGCAGCCACCGTCATCGTGTTTGGGCTGCTGCCGCTCCAGCCCATGATGCTGCATGCCCCGCAGCGGCTGTTCGATTCCAAGGTGGAGGCAGCCAACAGAGCAATTGCAGCTTTTGCAGCGGGGGAGGCCTCCGCGAAGCTCAAATTCAAAGGTCTGTGACCCTCCCCATGGCCCTCACACAGTGGCTGAGGATACTGCCTGGACTTTATGGGGGTGGGTGGGCTCGCCTCGTTGAGCCCGCCTTTCTGCCTGCCGTCGTGCCATGGCACGCATGCATGTGCTGCAGATTGTGGCGGCGACTTTGTAGATAAAAGCGGCGCTATAAAGCAGGAGCTCATGCCAGACGGCGTGCACCCAGCAGGTGGGCAGACAGCGTGCTGCGCAGGCGGCGCTGCTTTGCGCTGCATGGCATGCCGCCAGGGATTTGAGCCTGGCTGCCCACGGGCCCCGAAAGCTGAGCTCCTGCTTGCTGCCCTGCAGGGGGTGGCGCCGACGTGTTGCTGAAATGCATGCTGGAGGCGATAGGGAAGTGATGCCATCATGCTGAGATTTTTCTTCAATCTAATTCAGACCTCTGTAACAACAATGCTCCAATTGAGGATCGCCGGCCGACGCTCCGGCGCTGACGTGGCGGGTGGCGGGTTGCAGCAGCAGCAGGAACCGAGTTGCGCAACGCATGCTTTGTGCTGCGACTTAGCAGAGTTTGTACCCACCCCGCCTTTCGAAGCTCGTCTCCCAGCATCTGGGCACTGCAAGAGAGCTGCTGCTGCTCCGCTGGCTGCTGTTTCTCCGCGTGAAACCCAAAACACGACGGCTAAAACCCATCAAGTATCGCCGAGTGAACAGCGTTTCTCGGAGCCGCCCAGCAGAAGAGTGTCCAGCCAGCTCCCCGACCCGCCCGCCTGCCCGCCCGCCCGCCGCATCATGCCCGGCGATCCCCACCTCTCCACCCTTCAGGACCTGGAAATTGCTGTGGATGCTGCCATCGATTTGAGCGTGCCGCGTGCCAGGTGCGACTCCTGCTGTTGAACCAGCAGAAGAGTAGGGAAGCCTTGCTGCGCAGCATGCATGACCACACACAGATGTCCGCTGCTCAATGTCCGCCGCCACTTTGCAGTTTGACGGATGCCGATTTGCTGCGGCGCGCCAACCTGGTTGCTGCCATCCCGCGCGACGACCAGCCCAGCTTCGCTGCAGCCTGCGGCAAGGACGAGGAGATGCACCGCCTGGCGCTGGAGCTGGCCGCCACCAAGCTGCCGCTTGCTCTGAACAGAAACCTGTGCATGTTCACGGCTCCTGAACTCATCTGCTGCACGGAGCCGGAGCTGCCTATGCCCCTGCCGCTGTTCTTTGCCCTGCTCAGCGCACACGCCACGCTGTGCAGCTGCCTTGTGAACCGAGGCGCCAGCGAGGCGGAGCGCTGCCAGATCCAGCGCGCCGCGCTGCCCATCCTGCACGGCATAGTGCAGGCCTCTGGCGCCGGCTATGGCTACGGGATGGCTGGGCGAGGTGAGCGTGTGCGCATGGCCAGCGCCGAGCGCAGCGCAGCAGCGCCCGCTCCACCCACGGCGAGTGGAAGCCAAACTCACTTCCTCGATGCCCTGCTGTGTGACCTCTGCTGCAGCCCCCTGGCCTGAGTTCTATGCGTCCTACGCCTGCCTGTTCCTCGACCAGGAGGTGGAGGATGAGAAGGTGCTTAGGGAGGTGGAGCGGCTGGACATGGACAGCTTTTTCGACGGGTTTGTGTATGCTGCAGAAGAGTCGGGCGCAGTTATGTGCACCGACTGGCTGGAGCGCATCATGAGCCGCAGGAACCGGCGGGCGACGAGCGACGGCGGCAAGTAGGGAGGCGCCATGCTGAGGGAGGGAGGCTGGTTCTCCACGTTTTGATTGCACATAAGACATGCTTCGACTTTAGTATTTGGCACATTCAATGAATCCAGCTCTGCGTTTGCAATAGTGGCTCAAACATGCCTCTGGACCGCCAGCGGGCACCACATTGCTGCTGCCCCCTGATCCCAGGTGGACCGCAGGCGATTACTGATGGCATGCATCAATCATGCATGCCCAGTATGTCTGCCTTTTTAGTGACAAAGACGCAAATGATCAGGGAGCCACCCGAAATTGCAATGCACATGGGCAGGAGGGCAGCACGGCTCAGCAGGGACCCGCTTTTGTTTTCCTGATCCCGCTTGGGTCTACAAACCAACCAACGCAGCATAGAGTGCAGGAGGTGGCCTCCGTGGTGTTCAACATGGAGGCCCCAAACACTCGCCTGCTTGCTGTAGGCGGCCTGTTCACGGTGCTCCTGTGCCTCGTCATGCGCATGTACGTTGTGCGCAAGGCGGAGGTGCTGTCCCAGCAGCCGCCAGCCGAAGTGCTGCAGCCGACGTCTCGGGCGGCGGAGCCCCAGTGGGCCGCCTTTCACGACACCCTGGCTGGTGAAGTGTCGGCGGCCAAGGCTGCTGGGGTGAGTGTATTGATGCCTGACATCTGCCAGCAGAAAATCCCTGGCATTGGGTATTCATTTTGGCTTTCGACCGCTTCTCGCCGCTCGTCCCCTGATGCGCACCTCCCTCTCTGCTGTCAGGGCGTCCTCGACATCGTATTTTATGGGGACTCTATTTCGGAAAGCTTCAGGGGCAGCGTTGCGGGCACGGTTGTGGAAGGGTATAGCGGCAACATGGCGGCATGGCGAGAGATGATGGGCACGCGGCGGTGAGTGGCGACGCAGGGTTGGTCCCCTTTGCGCAGCAGACGGCGGTCTATCCATGTTCCTTGCAGAGATGTGAGCAGAGCAAACCCGGCAGGCAGTGTCTGGTGTACCCCCACCGCCCATGCGCAGGGCCATGGTGCTTGGGATTGCTGGGGATCAGACGATGCACTTGCTGTGGCGGCTTCGTAATGGGGAGGGTCCCAAAGGCCTCAACAGCAAAATCGTGACGGCCATGATTGGCACCAACGACATGATTTACCTCACCTTTCTCTACCCAGTGCGCCCCTGGCTGGCATTGCTGCCGTTGCTGCTGCTGCCTCGCAAGGTTGCTTGTTGGCGCTGCTGTCCATGAACCGCCCACTGCCCAGCAAAGTTTACCCTCTTCCCTTAACATCTGCAGGATGACGATCAGCGCGTCATCGCCGCCATTGTTTCCAAGGTGCAGCGGTGCGTGCGTGAGTTGCAGCAGCAATCACCACAAGGTGAGCCCTCTTTGCCCGGAGCAGCATCGCCTGATTGCACGCAACTGAGTTTTTAGCACAGCACACCAGCCTCTGATCCTATGCACCGTGCCCCTCTCACCTCCCCTTGCTCAGCCAGCATCGTCCTGTTTGGGCTGCTGCCGCTGCAACGCACACGAACAGACTGGCCGCATGCTGAGTATAACGGCAAGGTAGCAGCGACCAACCAGCAGCTCCAGGCATTTGTGCAGCAGCAAGGCTCTGAGGAGCTCAAGTTCAAAGGTGGGTGCTACTGGATGTGGCTTTGCTGCAGGAGGCTTGTGCGGCACCCAATGCCCCATCTGCCGCTTTCCGAATACATCCGTGCAGACTGTGGCGGCGACTTCCTTCTAGCCAACGCCACGGTGGACTTGAGGCTGATGCCTGACGGCATCCATCCAGCAGGTGAAAAACAGGCAGGGCGGCGCCATTGCCGCAAGTCAACATCATTTTCAGGGAATGAAGGTGGCCCACCTCTCCTGTTGATACCCTGCTGTGCAGGCGATGGCGCGCGAGTGCTGTTGAGCTGCATGCTGCAGGCGTTGGGCGACTGAAGGGGAACTGTATCCTGCTCCGTCATTCAACATCCTGCCTTCAGTTCTGTTGTGTCCCTGCCACTTTAATGTTGTATTCCTGGCAATGAATAGCGTTGCGCGCTGTGCCGATGTGGAATGGGAACGGGAGGGGGCGGGTCTCGAGTCGCGTTATCTCCGCCACGGTTCCAGCCTCCACACCAACCATCGGCGGGTCGGCGTCTCTGAAAGCGGCATTGACCACAGAACGTTACAGGTGCGTGTTCGGCCCATCGGCTTTCAGGCGTGATGGAGAGCGGAACTCGAAAAGAACCCATTATGCGGGCATTCCATTCGTCGTGACCGTTGTAGACAACGCGAAAGCCACGATTGGCTCCACCAGCCAGCCGCACAGCCAGAAAGTGACTATTGGCCTCCTGCACGCGATGCGATGCAGGAGCCGTCTACTGCCACTTTGTGCGTGGTTCCATAACGTGAATGGAGGCCATGCGGCGTGAACTCCGACTTGCCGCCCAATGGGCGCACAACACGGTGCTGGCAGTGGCGGGGCCCATTGCCCGGCACTTGTGCAAAACGCCAGCAGCCATCGCAGCGCTGGGGCTGCGAATTGCCGCGGCGACAGTGATGGACCTGTTCTCTCCAGCTCCTGCCGTTGGTCAACTGGCAGAGAAGCAGGAGGCAGGGCAGGCCCAGCTGCAGCCGCAGGAAAACGCATTGCGGGCAGCCATGACCCAGCTGGGCAAGGAGGTTGCGGCAATCATGCAGCTGGTCTGGGAGATCATTCAGGGGGTGCAGACCTGGGCGCCCCCAATCCTGTTCTTCCTGGCGGGAACCACGCTGCTGCGCCTGTCTGGAGCCGAGATGCCGGCATCGACGCAGCTCAGCCTGACATGCATCGCAAAGAGCGCAGCTGGCGGCGCCATAGTGCTGGCATTGGCAGACCGGCCCAACGTTGCATTGCTCTGCCACCCTAGGGCAGGGATTGTGGGGGTAAAGCAGCTGGGCACCGCGGTGTTCACTGCATTGGCACGGCTGGCTGCCTGAGTGCTCCCATTGCACCTAGTGGCAAAGCAGAGGGCAAGGCGCTCAGTTTTGTGTTACTTGAATTGTTTTGTCACACATACAATTATGTCTTGGTGCAACAACAGCAGTCAGAGAAGCGGGAGAGCAGAGCATGGGGGAGATTCACAGAGGGAGCTGGGACACAATCAAGCGCAAGCAAGGGGACAAGCGAAAGCGGGGGCTACATCTGTATCGAATGAGCAGTGTGCAGCACCCGCCCGCGCTCTGCTAGACTCTCTTTTTGAAGCCGTATCTGCACNGGGGGGGGGGGGGGGGGGGGGGGCCCCCCCA